AGGAATATTACAGGCATGTACTACGACATCCACACGGATACGAGGGACCAAACCCAGGGCCTCAGGCAATCCAGGCAACTTATTCTGCCAAGTGAGCTACAATCCCAGTCCCTGACACCAGATTTCCTAATTCTTCCCTTCCTCCTCCCCAACCCTTTTGTTTCTACAGCGATAGCGAGCAAGGACTTGGGAACATTTAGATTCCGAGTCACTGTGCCGCCTGGTTTTCTGTCGACACTGCACAAGCTACAGCCACTGGAATGCAGGGGGCCTCAAGTGAGAAAATGCTCAGTAAGATGAAGCAGGCAAGCCTTGAGTGCGTTTTCTTACTTAGTGATGGATGGCGGAGGGCCCAGCCCATTGTGGTGGGGCCTCCCAGGCCCTAGTGGGCTGAGTCAGCCACAAGAAGCACGGCGAGCAACAGTTTTCTATAACCTCGTGCCTCAGCTCCTGCCTCCAGGTTCCTGCCCTGCTTGAAATTCCTGTCCTGACTTCCCTCAGTGATGAGCAGTGCCAAGGAAATGACCCTTTCTTCCCCAAGTTACATTTGTCACGGTGTTTCACCACAGCAATAACCACCCTGACTCAGCCAGCCAAGAACGTGTCCTTGGCTAGTGCTGTTAGCCAGTGCTCACCCAGGGAGCTTGCTGGAATGGAGATTTCCATCCGGAATGTGGTCTGAGGATCTGGAGTTTGGAGCTGCTCCTCAGGAGCTAAGGTGTGAGACCCCGGCTTATGGGAGCGTGTGTGCAGCCACGCGACTCAGCAAGCTGCTTGGCACCATTGGCACGGACTTTCTCCGATGAGCACAGCTTGTTAGGATGGTTTTTAAAAGTGAAGTTGGCAAGCCAGTTTATTAACCTACTGAGCCAGTCATTTGTGTTGATGACTTTATCCCGTCTCTGGCTCAAAAGTGGGGCAAGTAATTTGCTTAACAACTTCGGAATGTCTGTGTCAATCGGCATCTTAGTTCAGGTTCCTGTTGTTAGGGTTTCTATCTCTCTGATGAAACACCGTGACCAAAAAGCAAGTTGGGGAGGAAAGGCTTTATCGGCTTACACTTCCACATCACTGTTCATCACCAAAGGAAGTCAGGACAGGAACTCAACCGAGGCAGGAGCTAATGCCGAGGTCATGGAGGGGCACTGCTTACTGACGTGTTCCTCGTGGCCTGCTCAGCCTGCTTTCCTATAGAAGCCAGAACCAACAGCCCAGGGATGGCACCACCCACCAAGGGCTGAACCCTCCCCCGTTGATCACTAATTGAGAAAATACTGTTCAGTTGGATTTCTTAGAGGTATTTCCTCACCTGAGGCTCCTTCCTCTCTGATGACGCTAGCTCGTGTCAAGTTGACACAAAACCAGTCAGCACAGTGGGTAAGTCACCGACTGCCATTCCCTCCAACCGAAGGCAACGCAGAAGCTCAGAGCCTTCACCACAGGGCTTTTTCTCGTTGTCTCCAGGTCTTGGTATGAATGGGAACTGCTCCCATTACCTGCATATCTGTCTTCCCTGCTTCAAAGCTGCTGCTGTAGGACAGCTTCCTGATCAACTTGTTCCTTGTGGGAGAGAGCAAACAGTAGTGAGTCAGGAGGAGGAGTGGAGGTTAACTCACTTGAACAACACCTGCAAGTCCGGCTGTGCGAGAGAGCCTCAGAACATTCCCAAAGCGTCGGTGCTGGTGCCCAGGGTGCTGGCTTACTGGAGAAATTTTCAATGATATTTGTTGTTGTTGTTTTTTGAGACAGGGTTTCTCTGTGTAACAGCCCTAGCTGTCCTAGAACTAGCTCTTGTAGACCAGGCTGGCCTCGAACTCACAGAGATCTGCCTGCCTCTGCCTCCCGAGTGCATGTGCCACCGCCGCCCAACCAAAATACTTAGCTTAGACAGGGACTAGAGTAAACCCATGTAGCATTGGAGACTAGTAGCAGAAACCTGCCCTGCTCCTGGAGCTGCTATGGGCTTGCATCACTGTGTGAGCTCTCACTACATCTATGTACTTTCGTGTATGCAGTACGTTCAGGACAATGTGACCGCCTGACAAAAAGCTAGGTAAACTGCCTTTTCCAGATGTGATCCCTGCACTTAGGGTCATAGAATTCAACCCTTTACAGAGCAAGTGCTTCTGATCTTGCTCAACCCAGCGGAGGAAGAGCAAACCCTGCTTGCCCTTTCTTAGTCTGACAGAGCAGGAGTGTTGTTTTCTCTCGACACAGAAGGTGCGCCCCAGCTTTCCTAGTTTCTAGTTCTCTCAACATAGAAGGTGCGCCCCAGCTTTCCTAGTTCCTAGTTCTCTCAACACAGAAGGTGCGCCCCAGCTTTCCTAGTTTCTAGTTCCCTCAACATAGACGGTGCGCCCCAGCTTTCCTAGTTCCTAGTTCTCTCAACACAGAAGGTGCGCCCCAGCTTTCCTAGTTCCTATTCACGCTGCTACTCCACAGACTCAAGATATCCGAGCCTGACAAGTGTAGAAGGAATTGAAAATACAGAAGAGGGACCAACGAGATGGCTCAGTGGGAAAAGGTGTTTGGTGTATTAAGTTAAACACCTGAGTTCAATTCCCAGAATCCAAGTAAGGGCAGAGAGAGAACTAGTCCGCAAACTTGTTCTCTGACCTCCACACACGTAATGTCCCCGTTAGGCACTGGCTCGGTGGAAAGTACATGCCCACATATGCCAAATAAACAACCAATAGAAGGAAGGCTGAGGGTCAACGAGATGGTTCACTTGGTCAAGGCACTTGTTGCATGCGCCTGACGACCTGAGAGAAATCGCTGGGACCCACTTAAAGGGCGGACCTGACTCTATAAAGTTGTTCTCTGACTGCCACAGCAAAGGAAACCCTTGGTTAAGTGTTGAGTTTGAGGCCAGGATGGGATACATAAGACTCCATCTCAGAAAAAAAAAATAAAAAAGTTGAGCTCTACAGCTGTGTTTATAAGAATGACCTATCCTTAAGTGCCTTTTGTTTTGGCATGCTGGAGACTGAACTGGGGCCTTGTGCATGCATGCATATTATCACTGAGCTGTGTCTCCAGCACTCTTACTTAGAGATGGTTTTACTGACTTGCCTGGGCTGACCTGGAACTCAGTCTGTGGCCGAGGCAGGAAGTGAACGTATGACCGATCCTCTTTTCATCAGCCTCCTGAGGTGCTGGGATCACAGACCTGTGTCACAGGCCTGGCTTGAAGCCCATCCTTCATCTGTGTTTCCTTCCTAATGCAATTTGTGCTTTTAGCTCTGACGTCCACCCCTTCGGTTTTGTGTCCTTGACTTTGCTCTCATTTGCTCTGAGATGATGCACTTTGAGATGGTCATCTAGGAGAGACCCTGAGGGAGTGACTTCAGAAACTAACCTGGGGGACTAGCATAGCGTAGGGTTTGTTTTGGTATTGGGGATGGAAACCAGAAACCAAACTCTACATACTAAGCCTGGGTTCTTCGCCTGCCTGTTTTGGGATTTTGAGCATCAAGAAAGAAAATAACAAATGTTGGCAAGCATGTGGGGGGAAGGAACTCTTCCGCACTGTTGGTGGCCATGTAATTAGTCAAGCTTCTGTGGAGAGGAGTGGGGAGGGCCTAGAGGGGCGGCTTAGTGTGTAAGAGCACTGGCTGCTGTTCCTAGAAGACCTGCTCTGGATTCTCAGCCCTCACACGGAGACCCATTTTGTAATTCATTTCAGAGGAACTGATGCCCTCTTCTGGTCTCCATGGGTACTGCATGGTGCACAGACATGCAGGCGAAATACACAGAAATAAAAAATCTCAAATTAAAAAAAAAAAAAAGCAAAACTGAAAATAGGACTACCATACAATCTATCCATACTACTCTTAGGCACATACCTGAGTCAGGTCACTACAGAGACACCCACAACAGCTAGTGAAAGGAACAAACCTGGAGTCCATCAGTGGATGAATACATAAAATGTACATTTGCACCAAGGACCTTCACTCAACAGTAAAGGGTGCGATTGTGTTCTCTGCAGAGCTGGAGATCATGTTATGTGAAATAGGCCAACCTCGCACCCATGCTTTCTGTGCGGTGTCCAGGAAAACAAAAGGGAATTAAAAGGGGGGATGCTAAGTAAGTGGAAGGAAGTGGTAAAGGTCAAGGAGGGTAAGATTAACCTAGGGCTGAATACATCAATGTGTACTGTATGTATGGAAACACGAATACAGTTTATACTCTGTATAGTTTACCCTAACCTAAATGATCTGTATGAGTCCAGCTCAACAAAAATTCTTGTGTTGGGAGCAGGAAGAATTTTGAAAAAAAGTACTGCTGTTCCTCCCTGGCAGGGCGTAAGAACTGATGGTCCCTGCTAATAGACTAGCAACATCCACCACAACGACCATAGAGCTGTTGGTGGCCTTGGACTGAGAAGTCAGCAAGTCTTTACACCCTGGGGAAACTACTCAGACCACTCCATTACAATGCCTCCAAGCCTAGTCCTTTTCCCAGCACTGGGGATTGAACCCAGCACCTTGCAGATATATACTAATGGGCAAGTGTTCTACTGTCCTTTATCCCCAGAGCTCCTGGCCTTTTCTCTGTTAATTCTTCCACCAGTGGTTTTGCACCACTTGCTTTGAGAGGGTATCTAGGACGACCACCCGCATGGCTTGCTTTGAGAGGGTATCTAGAACGACCACCCGCATGGCTTGCTTTGAGAGGGTATCTAGAACGACCACCCGCATGGCTTGCTTTGAGAGGGTATCTAGAACGACCACCCGCATGGCATCTCACTGCTCCTGCACTTTTTAGAATGGTGTGTGGCACAGCAGGGAGCAAAGCTTCAGGCAGGTGACAAACCCCACTGGATTCTCATCCTTGTCTCGATGTTGTGGACATGGTGCTCACAGGGTTGCATGGTGGCTCCGAGTGATGTGTAAACACAGGCAGTGGCTCAGGACAGTAGCTACTGAGATGGTATCTGTCTGTGGTCTGTGGTTGTTCCAAACTTTGGTCTTGAAATAAAGCAACAAGTAGACCTGGTGACAACACATTTATTTCTGTGCCCTGCTGTGTGACTGGGAGGTGCTTTTTCTCACCTTCCCATAATTGATTAGGTCACAACAATGAAAATTCCACAAGGTAAACTAGTGGTTTATTGTTGCTCATGAGCATAAGTAAACAGACATATGGTACCACATAAAGGAATCTTCAACACGTTAAAACCTTTTGGCAGTATGAACCACTAGACTTTGGCAATAATAGCCTGGTTGGATTCCTATGCTAAAGCGTGTGGCTATCTTCAGACACAGCGGTAAAAGGTGGATTTAGTGCTTGAGCTTCAGAAATATAACTAGGGTTCTTAGGAAATTGGGAAAAGCCAACATCACTCAAGCTTGCCTGAGTTCTCGTCTGTGATATTTAGCTTACTCAAAGCGAGAGCAGCCGGCGGCCACACTCCACCAGCAATGGTCACTGTTGGCTTACAGCGTTTGTTGAAAACAGCTTCCTGCAGATGGCGGGCTCTGTTTAAGTAGTTTTAACTGAACGTCTTGTGCCCTAAAGAAACTCATGTAGATCTCAAGCCAAAGCACAGAACAGTAAATTTCCTGTTAGAATCCGTCACTTCCAAGCAGCTGTGTCTTTTCCTGTGTTCCCTTCCTGCTTGCAAATCTCACGGTGTCTACTTTCTGAGGGTTCAGTTTAAGAAAAAAGAGGTAGTCACCGCTAGAAGAGGATCTAGGACTGGGCTGACCACCAAGGATGAGGTTTACTTTAAACTAAAACGTTACGCTGTTGGAAGCTGAGGGGACACGAGTTCTCAGCTCCTACAAAGTATTATGGCTAAAGAAGCAGAGAACTCAGATGAGGAAGACAGCTAAGGAAACTAACTCAGCACAGAGAAATGATAGGATTAGTGCCGTCTCAGGAATGCGCTCACCGACTAGGAACGGGCAGCACACAGCATTTCTTTGGAGGTTAAAGTGCAGGCTATGAAATGGCATAGAAAACAGTGCATGGAACAGTGCAACCCCAAGGTGCCATAGTTCCCGTTCATGGCGCATAGCCTATTTCTTGTATGTCCACTCTCTAAAAACCCAGCTGCAGTGACACCTTTTAGCTTATTTATGTAGGCATTAAACTGTTTTACCCACTCTTGGGCTACATAAAATATTTTAACATTTCAACACATAGACTAGTAGCACATACCTCTTGAAACTACTAAATTAAGGCAAGCCCCTGTGAAATTCAGTACTCCAAAAACATGTTTTACAAAAAAAAAAAAAAAAAAAAGTTGATTCTAAATCATTGGCTTTCGACCTGGGGTACCCCAGTAGTCTCTACAACCCCCCGTTACCGCCAGGCTCTCTACGTCAGATGGGAACTCTGAAGAGTGGTGTAAGTACACTGGACACGGGAGGTGAGCAGGGCTCTGCGGGAAGGGGCCAGTCCTCTTCACCTCCCATCCATGTCTTGTCATGCTTGGATGCCTGTGTGTAGTGTGTACCATGGATGAACTTATACATGGGAACGAGGCATTCACACAGAGGAACCACTTCTCGGTGGGGATACTTTCTGAAATGAGCTGTCAACCACCCACAGCATGTAAGCTTCTGCCAGGAAATGCAAGACGCCTCTCTCAGGAGGCGGGCTGTTTTCCCATGGCAAGTCAGTTTTAGCTATTAATAATGCGTGATTTGGAAAACTCTAGATGCTACTGTGCTATCCCAAAGCACTGTATTAAGTGGAGAAGACAACTGCCTGACCTGAGTTAGCTACTCTGAGTAAAGCTCAAGACAAGCGAGCTGTAGCACTTTATTCTCATAGTTATGGATACTCATGACACAAGTGCAAATCTGATGGGCAGACCACGGGCGTGTGCAGCAGACATGTCCCTTCTTACTGTGGATGCTCACTGTGAAAGCCAGGCACTCACATCAACAAATGGAAGACTAGTGATTACATTTAGGCTAGTTAGATGTAGTTTGAAAGAAACTTTTAATTACTGAAGAACTAATTTGAGGCTTATTTCTTTGATGCATAAGATTATACTCTGAAAACCTGTACTTTGATGCTTACCAAAGTCTTCTTCTACCACAACAGTAGACTAAGAAAGTCAAGCTCTGAGTGCCCAATAGGCCTCCTCCAAGGCTACAGTGATATGGCTATGTCCTAGAATTGCAAAAGTGAGACCTGCTGAGAAAACAAGTTCTAGACAAGGACCGTTATGGATGACCTGGGCTGACAAATCATTTTAGGAAACTGTTTATTTTAAAATTACCTTCCCAACAAACCACGAGACACTTGGATGCCATGTTGCGGATTCTCACTGAAACACACTACATCGTAAACGGACCTTCAAAGCCAGACTTGAACAAAACCCAAGGAAGGGCAGGATCATGAGGGGACAATCCTAAGGGGCAGGAAGTGTCACTCGGTGAAAGTAGCCTAAAGGATGCACAACACAGCGTGCTGGACGGAGGACACCCTCATGCTTCCCTCCCACTGTGGGATTACCAAACCTTAGTTTTCCACAGGCGCCAACTTTCACCTGGAAAGGGATAGTTTTGACTATCTCACAGCTAAATTACTATAAATACTGAAGCCCAAAGCCACAGATGGTTAAAAGAACTACATAATTTAGTACATTAAAATAAAATAGGACAGTGATTGTTGGGTGTTTCAAAAATATACAACGGGGAAAAGAACCACTTTACACAATTTGGAGAGTGTGAAGGTGACCACTCAGAAGGTTGGACAGTGCAAGACACACTTTTCCAGTTACGAGCTCAAAACAGTGCAAAGAAATCTAAAGTTTCTGTCAGAGTTATCGTGGGAGCTCGAAAGTGGTATTCAAAGGCTTCACCCAGCTCAGCCCTTAGATATGAAATGATCAAACTAATTTCACGGCACATTTTCTTCAAGGAACTTTCCTTCAGTTGGGTCCCTATTCGTCATGGTTGACCCATGAGCACAGTGACGAGTCAGCCTCATGACTGCTTCCCAGAGGTCTGACATCTACACAAAGAGGCTTGGCCAGTGTACCTGAACCCTACAGAGAAAGGACACATCAATGGACTCTACAGTCTCTTGTGCCTGCGAAACGGGAGGACAAATGGACTGCCAATTCTCCCCTCCAGGCAAGCCGCTGCAGAGGAAGACAGTAAGCGAAGGCGCAGCTCTGCAAGTGATGCAGAGGTCAAGATGGACCAGTGCAAGAGCTGACTAGGCAATGCATGCACCCATCCATGGCCCCAAGGAGAACTGAAAGCTTGTATCGAATAACTGGAAACATCCCTTGCCAGTAGCTTATAAAAATATAGTCAGTACTGTAGAGCCTCTACAGTAACACTCTGCGGGCCTTCCTTACCCACCACTGCAACAGCACACTACTAACTTCTCAGACATTCCAGACAAAGGTCACTTATAACAAACAAAAAGTCAACCTTTAAAAAAAAAAAAATAAAACAAGATAGTGTCCATTTAAAAAGTAGATTTTTTTCTTTCAAGTGAACAGGACATTTTATGTATTAAACTTAACTTTGAGTCTGTCCAGAATGGTTTGTTAAAATCGTATGTAATGTGCATATATGCTGAAACAGACAAACTTAACACATCATCTGCACAGGAAAAACGTTAGCTCCCAAACATGATAGCATGGGTCTGGTTAGTACAGATCTATTGCAAAGTAAGAGGTTCTCTGCATCAGCTCCACCAGAGAAGCGCGAGAAGGGACGCCAACCACAAGAGCCAAGTGTAAGTTGTGTTCTGATCGCCTGGAAGCCTAAGGGACGCCATGTTGCTCCAGTATCCTCACAGGAAGAGCTGCTTAAACTCCCGGCCACAGACATCTTCCCCAGAGCTACAGCCACATTCCAATTTACTTCCTGTTCCGAAGTCGTTTGGATTTCCTAAGAGAGTCTATGGCTTCTGTCGCCTTCCTTCGTTTCCGAGGAGAGTCCTCACCCTGCCCAGAACTTGAGGATGTTCCTACTGCACTTTCCATGACTTCTCGAAGCTTCCGCTCCAGCTCTGCCAGCCGTGCGTTCTGTTCACCTATGATCTGGGTCTGCTCTAGCAGTTTCTGGTCTTGGTCTTGAAGCTGTTTCTGCTGTTCTTGCACTTTGGTGCGGAGCTCAGAAATGTCACGCCTGAGGACAGTCACACCAGCACCATTGGTTTTAACCTGCTGCTGGAGCTTGGTGACCTCCTGTCTCGAAGGGTTCTGCTTGGAGAAGAGCTGCATTGTCGTCAGGGCTGCAGATGGTCCGGGAACTGTGGAGAAAGCATCTGAAGGGTTAATCGTTCAGCTTACTTTAGGTTTTTGGGGTTTATTATAATAAAAATTCATTTTAAGTCAGCAGTTGTGGCCTCATGCAATGAATTAGCCATGAAATGGATCTAGAGAGCATAATTTAAGTAAAACAAACCCAAACCAAAACAAACAAAAAACTGAGACACATGCCACGGGGAGCTGCTGTACTGTGGTGCACAGCCATGTTCCCAGCACTCCAGAGGCCAACATGGTCGGCTGCCAGCTTGGGGTACAGATACAAAGTGAGACTCTGTCTGCAAAAGGAAAAAACCAAAAAGACACCTGGAGGAGAGCCCATGAGTCTTCCAGACACATCTGATCCTGGTAATTTCCTCTTGAGAATGGGAACGATCTTCTCATCAAAGTACTCCATGGCCATGGAGGAGATGTCCCGTAATTCCTGTAGCACTTCATGGGCTCGCTGAGGGGCTCGGGTAGAATTGACGTATCTCAGAACACGGTAAATCTCATCAATTACCTACAAGAAAGAATCTTGTTAGCACTTTATAAAGCTGTAAAAAAGAGATCAGCTAAATAATAGAGAGGGGATGACAGCTGCTGTGAAGACTCAGAGCTCGGCAGGAGCATTCACGGCACAGGCTCTGGACTACAGCACTTTACACCTAGACTTAGAAGCATCCTTACTGCATCAGGGCGCTGTGTCAAAGCTACAGTCAGAACAGACCAGCCCTGCCCTGAGGGAAATCGGAGCAACCAGGGAGATACATGAGAATACACCATACAACAAGAGCCACACACGCTGCTAAAGAAATTAGGTTAAATGCAGACATCACAGTTCTGCATTGAGTAGTGGTAGGGAAGGGTTACCCAAGTCTACACTCAAACCTGATTCTGTCCCCAAGCCCCAAGAACTCAGTCTGACTGCTCTTTCTCTTGTGCTCTTTCTACCCCTTAAAGCTTTGTTTTTCTAAGAGTTGACACAGCGTGGAATAAGCTTCCAGGCCACACTTTCTCATCATTACCAAAGGGCAGCAAAATGTCCCTTTCTATTTTAATTGCAATAGGGAAACTGAAGGCATAACATCAATGAAGAAGAAACAAGTGCTTACCACACTGGTTTCCAACCCTCTCCTCTCCTACTTGAACAGTTTCTGAACATCCTTAGCCAAGCATGCTGAGCTTTACTCCCTGCCAGGGTATTGTTCACACACGCAGAGCTTCAATACAGACCCGAAAATAGTGATTCACATCTTTGAAGACCACAGTTCAAATAATGTCTGTTGCAATGGGACTGAATCTCATAAGAACTGGAGGCGATAAGCCAAACCATTATGCCACCAGAGTCTCAAACCTCCTTGAATACCATTTTCCTCTCGCTGCATTCATTCCAACTCTGGGTTAGTCTTGTAATCTGCCTTCTCTTTTTGACTCAGAATAAACACACAGTGTTTACTAGTTAAAAGAAAACACAGAATCTAGCCTAATAGTACCTGGACAAAGCCTAGCCCTTAATGTTTTCTTGATTCAAGTTCAAGGTGATGATCCCTGATCAGTCTAGAATGACTTGTACAGTAAGTATCGGCAAAATTAAACTGTTAGGGAATGGTCCTTTGTATAAACATAAGATGACTTCACCGAAGTAGTGGCTTGTTCTGTGGGCAAGGACTGACTAAGAATGAATGAGCTGAGGCAGAGGTCACGCAGACTGAATGGGGGTAAGACATACTGTGCTGAGCTCAATGGGCAATAAGGGGATGCGTGTCAGAGGCAGCTGGGTCAAGGTCGGGAGGACAGGAGGCAAACTGCAGATGTAGGCACATTCAGCAGAGACAGACAGCACAGAGGGTCTGGGTCCAGAGAGAGAACATGGGATCAGGGAGTCAAAGGCACAACCAAGGAACCAATGGCTAGTGCTGTATTTTTCTGCCACTACTATTCCACACAGAACTCATGGTAGAAGAAAATTAACTTTTTAGCTGAGCGGTGGTGGCACACGCCTTTAATTCCAGCACTCGGGAAGCAGAGGCAGGTAGATCTCTGTGAGTTTGAGGCCAGCCTGGTCTACAAGAGCTAGTTCCAGGACAGGCACCAAAAACTACAGAGAAACCCTGTCTCAAAAATAAAACAAAACCTTTTACAATAACTTATTCAACTACCATGCTAGAAATCCAGTATATAGTAAAATGAAATGGCGAGCACACATCAGACAGACCACAGTGAGTTCCATGCACAAATAAAGTACTAAGTGAGACACGGAGGGCAAGGAGGTGAGACTCACTGAGAGAACTGGGCAGTCGAATGGGGGTATGGAAATAGCAACAGGTAAACTTTCAGCAAATAGGGGAAGGCAGAGAAGACAGAAGGTTGAATAAAAACAACAGTCAGGAGTGGTGGCCAAGCCTGCAACCCCAGTGCTCAGGAGGGTAAGGCAGGAAGACCACAAGTTCAGGTTACCTAGTGAGATCCTATTTCAAAAGCACATATGAATGAATGAGTACAACAAAACAAGGAAAAATAAAGGAATGGAGCTGAGGCAGGTGGATGGCATAAAAGGATAGGTGACAAGAAAGGCAATTAACTAACATGTGTGATATTGTATCTGAGGCATTTATTCTAGGGTATGTTTTTAAAAACAATCATTAGCTGAGCATTAGCCTAAGCCTTTAATCCCAGCATGCAGGAGGCAGAGGCAGGTGGATCTCTGTGAGGTTGAGGCCAGCCTGGTCTACAGAGAGAGTTCTAGGACAGCCAGGGCTACATAGAGAAACCATCTCAGAGCACATCTGTTCATTTCTCCTTAACTGGCTAAGTTTGGTGGGGCACACCTGTGACCCCAGCACTCACAGGCTGAAGCAAGTGAACACAACTGTAGGTCAGTCCGGCTACCCTATCTCACCAACAAGCAACAACGGAGTACAACAGAACAAACACTTCTGGGAGAGAGCAGAGACGGTGGGCCTCAAGGACTATCTAACGGCGTCTGTATGCCCTTCCAACAGTACACCACATACCAAACCCTAGCTGGCCTGAAGCAATAAACTACATCTTCACGAATATTTCTGTATAAGAAGTTTGGCATAGTCCCCATGTGAACATTATCACATTTCTACACAAAAACTTCACTGCACAGAGCACACGTTCAAACTGTAAAATAATGGCACCGATCATCTGCAACTTCAGGCTTTCGTGGGCAAGAGTTTATCTTTTCAAGTCTACTGGTGAGCTTCCACTGGAATCCTTCCACCGCCTCCATCCCTCTGTTCTACCTGATTTTTTTACATTAACCTCATCCTTCCCACTTAATTTTTAAAAAATGCCTTCTGTAATCAAAATGGTTCTGAGTATTCCTTGTATGGCATGTGTTTGTCTGAATCCCTTTTCTTATTTCACTTAGAACAATAGTTTATATTTTTAATCCTTACAGGAGTCCCTCAATTGCTTATCCTGTTTCACTGTCACCTTTCAGTCTAGTGAGTCTTTGTTGTTTGCTTCTACTTAAGACTACAGCATATAAAAGGCAAATCGGATCTTCTAGTTATCCAAGAAGGGTGCTTAAGTAGAGGACCTGTACAGCCGCCTGTATTCCATTTCCGGTCTCTGCAGGCACTTACCCCCACATACACCTTTGTTTTTTAAAAGACCGTTTCTTCAAATAAAGGCTTACATCTTTAAGTTGGACTAGTCACAGTAAAATAAAGAAACAATCTCAAGTAATCTTATGTTTAAGAGCATTTCGTAAGAAATCTAATAAAAACCCCCACAGTGTTTCAGATACTAGATAAACCTGCATAGTCACCCCTCATCATAACTGACCAGTGATAATCAAGAAACTGAAGACTGCCTGGTGTGGTGGTCCACACCTTTAGTTCCAGCATTTCGGAGGCAGAGACAAGCACATCTCTGTGAATTCAAGGCCAGCCAGGACTACAGAGTAAGACCCTGTCCCAAGAAAGAAAAAAAAAAGAAAGAAACAAGAAAGAAAGAACAAAAGAAATAATGAAAGAAAGAGAAAGAGGGAGAGGGAGGGAGGACTGAAGAAAAAGAAAGAAAAAAATTATACCCTATTATTTTAATTATTTAATATTAATTACTTGGGTATGGTTGTGCACATCTTTAATCCAAGTGCTCAAGAGGCAGAGGCAGGCGGATCTCTGTTCAAGGCTCCAAGACTGACTTGTTGTACACAGCAAGTTCCAGGACCTTAGAAACAAGGAAGGAGAGAGAGGGAGGGAAGGAGAGGGGGGAGGGAGGGAGAGGAAGAGAGAGGGAAGGAGAGAGAGAAAAAGAGAGGGAGAGAAGAAGGGAGGGAGGAAGAGAGGGAAGAGAGGGACACAGAGAGAGAGGGAAAGAAGGAGGAAGAGAGAGGGAGGAAGAGAGGTGAGAGAGAGAGGGAGAGAGGGAGAGAAGGAGGAAGAGAGAGTGAGAGAGAGAGAAAGGGAGAGAGGGAGAGAGGGAGGAAAAGAGGGAGAGAGAAAGGGAAGGAGAAGGAGGGAGAGGGAGAGAGAGGGAGAAAGAAAGAAAACCACTAGGAAAGTATTACTGTGATGTAATGAAATCTGAATATAAACTGTCAAGGATAAATAAAAGTATTTTATTAATGCTTAATTTCCTGGTTTTCTACCTGCACTGTGGTTATGGAAGACTGCCCTAGTTCTTAGGAAACATAGAACATATCTAAGAACCCAGAACTACTAATATCTTTAACACATTTTCAAACGGTTCAATAAAGAGTACATATTAAAGAGAAAACTGGCTACAATTGCTGGATCTGAACAACACTATTGGGCCCCTATTTTCCTTCCTAGAACATGAGTAAGAAACCAATCACACCCAGTGTGTACATTTTAGGTCTGTTTGGACATTTGGTCAGTTTCTTGGCGCTGTACAACCATCATACTTTGAAAACCCTCTCTCTGAGGGCCACTGGGTTCCAAAAGGACACAGCGGTATCAGGACTCCAAGTAATGGCTAGAAGCCGCGCCTACCCACGCCACTCTTCCTTGCTGCACGGTCAGAAGACCAGCTGCCCACCATTCACCCAGAGGAGGGCAGTCTTAGGTCTGAGAGAGGAGTGCACTATGAGAGTGGTGGGGAGGTGGGCAGCTACAGCCCCGTCTGGTCTGTGTATGAACATATCTAGTTCTTTACTCCACACTGTCCAGTTGTCACTAAGAACTGGAACCAGAAAACAGAGCCAAAATGACGACTCTCTAGTTTTCACTGAAAAACGCATGCTGATCCTTCCTCTAGAAGGCAAAGTCTCAATATTGTGATGTCTGGCAACCTAATTTAAATCACAATTTTGTTTTTCTCACTTACTTAAGCAACTTAATAAATTACTGACTATACACCTCAATTTCAGTGAAAGGGATATAGTATAATAATCTAAAGGAATGTAATCTTGGGGACAAGAAACCATACACTAAATCAAGTTTACAATTAATAGGAAAATTAGCTATTAATATGTCTACAGTGGCCTCAGGAGGCTCACATATGAAAGCCTTGGTTTTCAGTTAAGTGTTACTTACAAGTCTGTTAAGAGGTAAGGCCTAGTGGAAGGGGTCTCATTAGGGGAATATCCTTGTTAAATTAGCTTTGGGGGGTGGGCACTTGAGACAGGGTTTCAGGGTTTCTCTGTATAGCCTTGGCTGTCCTGGAAGTTGCTTGGTAGACTAGGCTGACCACTAGCTCAGAGGTCCACCTGTCTCTGCCTCCTGAGTGCTGGGATAAAGGTGTGTGTTACCACCACCTGGCTTAAATTAGCTATTTTAATTAAGAAACATAAAGTAACAGCAACCTATATATTTTTAAAGATTTATCTATTTATTTAATGAATGAGTGCTCTATCTGCATGTATGACTTTCCGCCAGAAGAGAACATCAGATCACACTGTAGTTGTTTGTGAGCCACCACGTGGTTGCTGGGAATTGAACTCAGGACCTCTGGAAGGGCATCCATTGCTCCTAACTACTGAGCTGTGCTCTAGTCCACAGTAACATATTTTTAAAAAATAACAATTACATAATATAACACAAATTCTAATTGGTCTTAATAATAAAAACTCAAGTTAACTATCAGGGGCGAAAGCTGAAGGATCAGAGAAGCAGAGCAACAACCTAGAGAGTTCCTCTCTCTACCAATGTTCAGACCAAAGGGACGATTCTGTCTCTAGGAATCCTGACTGAATCTCTTTCAGAAACCTCAGACTGCCTCTGAGCTCCTCCTCTCCCCTGCGTTATATTCCTCTCTCTGCTCAGCCATATCGCTCCTGTTTCCACCCCCCTAGTGCTGGGGTTAAAGGAATGGGATCCCAAGTGCTGGGATCACCTTTGTGTGAGCTCTGTTTCTCTTTTAGACAGAATCAATCTCGTGAAGCCCAGGGTGGCTTTGAACTCACAGAGATTCGTTTGCCTTTGTCTCCTGAGTGCTGGGATTAAAGGTGTGTGCCACCACTGCCTGGACTCTGTGGCTAACTAGTGGCTTAGCTCTGCATGCTGATCTTCAGGCAAGCTTTATTTGTTAGATTACAAACAAAATATCACCATAACATAAGCTATTAAAGAAGGTAATTTTAAGAAACAAACAAAAATCCAAGTATGATAAACCATTGATCTAAATAAAAATAAAAGTTATAATTTTTGGTTGTTTTCAGTCAAGTACTCGTTTGCTGGAGAAAAAAACCCTGTGGCAATGGATTCACAGTGAGGACGGCTGTAAGGATGCAGTAGGTGTGTGAGACACCATGCTGGAGTAAACTCTGCTGCAACCAGATTCCCTGGGCTTCAGCTTTCTTGCCCATGAGACAGGACAGGAATGTCTGCCCCACCTCCACATATGGCTGTGAGGAGCACAAGTGAGGGAGCACATAAGAAAGGTGCTCTGACAACGAGCATGCGCTTCATGAATGCCCAGTGTGGTAACGACAGGAAAGGGAGAGGAGGACTCCATCTTCCCAGGTGAATGTCACACAAAGTTCCTCCCGGGTGAGCTCTACTGTGGGCAAATGAAGGCCTGATCTAGGAGCTGCCTAGCAATGCGGAGAAACCTGAAGATGTGGTCACTGTTGCCCACTGGTTTGGTACTAGAATTTAAACTGAAAAGCTAACAAACGGTTCCCGAAGAGTAGAACTCAGCTGGTCTTCACCAGTTACTCAGGCAGTACAAATCTACCGATTCAGGCACATGAACCCAAATGAAGAATGGCTACAATGTCTGTAAAGGTCAGACAAAAAGCACTCATCTCTGCAGGTCCCCAGTCCAGTCACAAACCCCTCTGTTAGAACAGCTGGCTGCACTTTCTCTGAGAGCAGGAAACTGGAAGCTATGTCTATTGCTCCCATCATTAAAAATGAGACGCACAGTGAGAACTATCTATTGGAGAGGGCAAGTCATCAGGCTCAAAGGACTTTTCAGCAGCACACAAAGAGTTAAGGGCTGTACATTGATAAAATCTGGTATAAAAAATCTGAACCCGAGGCTGGAGAGCTGACTCAGTGGTTAAGAGCACTAGCTGCTCTCCCAGAGGTCACAGGTTCAATTCTGAGCACCCACATGGCAGCTCACAACTACCTGTAACTCCAGCTCCAGGGGATCTGACATTCTCACACAGACACATATGCAGGAAAACACCAGTCCACATACAATAAAAATAAAAAAACGGAACCCAGTTTTTAGTTAGTCATGCTCTTACAGCATAATCTTATAAAAGCATTTGTAGGTTATATGGAGAAATAAGATACAACTAGGAAGACTTGAAGTCAAAGTATAAGCCATCAAACCAGATGTTACTGCAAACTGAGAATGGAAATAGTATCTACATACACTGTAGCGCTAAACTGTTTCTGGAAATAATTTCACTAGGTATTAAGAAGTTCCTACGACTGAAAGGACACTTTTGCCAAGGTCTATCAAGAAGCAAAATGATCTTTAAATCCATTCCCAATGCTTCTATATCTCACTTGAACTGACACTTTATTCAACAAGTAGGGTGCTTCCATAAGTGTCAGATCATGCAGTGCGGCTGGGGAAGGGAATTTACTTAATAATTGTCCAAGTCCCATACTTAGTGTGGTAAGGAGGACTCCTTAACCCTGGTATATTCCCACACAACAAATACTACTCTGGTTAAATATACACTCATCATTACCAAACATTTCTCAGACAAAACCAAACCCAGCAAACCCTCCATCCTACCTTTCCCCAAACTCTAACAATCTTGAAGGCAGCACAATCTGTATTTTGTTCATTGTGGCATTTCTGATATTTTGACCATAAAGGTCAGAACGTTTTTTTAACTATGAACCCCTGCCAAGCCTCTCATTTCTAGTGTGCATTTTGCAATTAGACTTTTAAATGTCAACACCACACGAATGATACATATTTATAATTGTACAGAAAAGCTAAGTAAACCCACTAATAAAAATTCATTCAGAAAAATAATATTTCTGACACCATAAAGTGTTTTAACATTTGTAAGACTTAGTTTACACAGGGCAGCCCAGCTTTCTAGCTATGCAGCACTGGTTACCTTTCCTGGTATGAAGCAACAGAGGTTGGAGTCCACATACTTCATGAAAGTCATATTTAACAGTGACAGCCTTGTTTCCACGGCAGCAAGGATATCTGCATGACGAGCTAAGGAATGGTTTCTCCTTTCTGACTCTCTCCTGAAATAACAATAAGTCAGTGGCACCCATTAAAGCAGTAGTGTAGAATACAATGTTAGCCAAACAAAATACCTTAACAACACAGACAGACGAACATGCTAATTTAGACATTTGCAACTGGGTCATAACTGTAATGCTCATATATCTTTAACAAGAACTACTGCTAACAAAATACCAGTTTCTTAAAAAAATACACAGCTGGCAGTGTAGCACAGTGTAGACCACTTGCCCAGTACTTGTGAGGTCCTGAGCTTGATCCTAAAACCCCTCTCTCTATTTCAATCTTTTCTAACAGTTTTACTCAGAAGTAACTCACACATACAATTCAGTATTTCTTTATTTAGAAGGCAGTTGGGCACACACTGTACCAACGCCACAACCTACTTTGTATGTAGTTTAATCAGAATAGATTCTGTGTGTTTAAGAGTGGCATCACCATTACCATTATCTAAATTTGGCACACCATCACCATAAAAAGAAAACTTGCAACCGTCTGCCAACTCATCTACCTTCTGTTTCTGTGAACACCGGAATAAACAGGACTGTGATGGGTAGCCCTTTGTGCATCCATTTCTCTCGTCACAGTTCACCAATGCTCTAACACTGACCTTTTCATTGCTGAATAACACCCCTTATACTTAGATATCATCCCTTTACACATCTGGGTTGTTTCTACATTTCGATTATAAATAAAGATCCCAAGGACATCTGTGTACAAGTATGTATTTTTGTTGTGCTGGGAACCACGTGGGGTGGTTTGAAAGAAAATGGCCCCCAAAGGGAGTGTTGCTATTAGGAGGTGTGCTTTGAGGTTTCCTCAGAACTCAGGGTACTCCCAGTGAGACAGACCACTTCCTGTTGCCTGCAAGATGTAGGACTCTCAGCTCCTTCTCCAGCACCATGTCTGCCTGCATGCTACCATGTCCTGGCATGACGATAATGGATTGAACTTCTGAAACTGTAAGCCACCCCAGTGAAATGTTTTCCTTTATAAGAATTGCTGTGGTCATGGTGTCTCTTCAACAGAAGACAACAGCAATAGAAACCCTAAGACAAGACCTTGTACAAGGTAGTCAAGTGCTCCACTGAGCTATAGTCTTCAAGCTTTTGTATGGACACACATTTTAATTTCTCTTGAACACACATTTGGGGCAAGCTACTTTATTGTAATGTGTCTGTTTAACTTAATTTGGTTCATTTTGTTTTTTACAAAAGGATTTAATCTTATGTGTATGGATATTTGGCTACATGTATTTATGTACACCATGTGGGTGCTTGTTACCTGCAGAAGTCAGGAGTTGTTGAATCACCTGAAACTGGAGTTACAGAAAGTTGTGAGCTGTCATGTGGGTGCTGGGAACTGAACCTGGGTTCTCTGCAAGGGCAACAAATGCTCTGAATTGCTGAGCCATCTTTCTAGGCTTCAGCTTGTCTTGAGACAGGTCTCATCACACTCAAGATGGCTTCAAACTTGCTCTGTAGCTAAGGCAGGCCTCCAGCTTGTGACTCTCCTGCCCCAGCTTTTTGGATTCTGAAATTAGGGGCATGTACTATACTATCTAGCTGGTGAAGCCACTCTTACTTGTAACATTATGTGCTCTAGGGGTTCAAGAGCAAGTGTAGTTACCTAGAGTCCTTTGCTAGAGTGTGGTAGTGGCCAGCTTTAAACGTACAAGTTTTTGCTTTATTTAGCCCCAATTTTTTAAACTTGTATGTGTGTGGCAGAACAAACCGTGGAAGTCAGCTCTCTTTACATCATGTGAGTTCTAGAACCAGGTCATCAGTGCCCTTACTTGTGAGTGACCTTGCTGACCCCTAAGTCCCAATTTATATTATTATTATTTTGAGACAGGGTCTCTCTATGTAGTCCTGCTACGTAGACCAGGCTGGCCTTGAACTCAAAGATCCTTCAGCCTCTGCCTCCCAAGTGCTGAGATTGAAAGCATGTATCATATCACCTTGCCTGATCCAATTTTTAAAAAACATCACTTTTTCTCCAGCTGAACTTTCTTGGCATCCTCACTGAAAATCATATCTAAGTATACAAGGGTTATTTTCCAGACTCTCTATTTTATCTCATTGATCTATGTGTCTATAATTATACTTGTATGTAGCATACTGTTTTGATTACTATAGCTTAGTACTAAGTTTTAAAATCAGGAGGTATTAGTCTTCCAACACTGTTACTCAAAACTGTGATAGTTAATCTGGGTCTCTTATATTTCCATAAGAATTTTAAGATTAGCTGTCCAAATTCTAAAAAATATGAGTGTATAGAGCTAAGCCTTGGTCAAGACTGTGTGTGTGTGTATAAAATACATGTGTGTATGTATATATGTAATATATGTATAGACAGACCCGAGAAGTATTGTCACATTAAAAACAGAACCTTCCAGGCCGCAAACATACATGCTCTTCTATTTCTTTATGTATTTTTTCTTCCCCCTAATCTATCTCTTTTCTTTCATTTTGTGTTTTTGAGACCCATGTAAACCAGGCTAGCCTCAAGTCTGCTAATGAACCCAAGGCTGGCCTTGAATTCCTGATCCTCCTGCTTCCCTTGCCCAAGTGCTAGGATTATAGATGTGCACCATCACACCTGACTCAATTTTTCTTTGTTGTTTTGAGACAGTCTCTCTACAGAGCCCTGGTTGTCTTGAAACTCACTGTGTAGACCAGGCTGGCCTCAAACTCACAGAAGTCTACCTGCCTCGGACTCTCAAGGACTGGGATAAGAGCACTTGCTACCACTGCCCAGCCTGTGACTCTTCAATATTTTGGTTCTCTGCAAGAACAAGTGAGTTATCTCTCCAGCCTTCTCCTTCTTTTTCCTTGTTTTTTCGAGGCAGGGTTTCTCTGGGTAGCCCTTGCTATTCTGGAACTTGCTCTGGAGACCAGGTTGGCCTCAAACTCAGAGATCCACTGGCCTCTCCTCCCAAGTGCTGGGATTAGAGGCGTGCCCCACACTGCCTGGCCCGATTGTTCATTTCTCACAGAGCAAACCCGTGGTACCCCCAACACTAACTAGAACATACCTTGGCAGTTGTGCTTTAACTTGCTTCTGACATAGATTGTGGTACCTCTCCACTTTCAGAAATCCCTGATTCAACATTCTCTGACAGACCAAGTCCATTCTTTTACAAACCTATAGGCAGAGGGGAGACAGAATTTAAAAGATAAAACCAATAACCAAAGCATTAACATGAACTTGGATGGGATGACTGAGGCGGGAAGTTCTCTGTACTGGTACAGTCCCCAAAGTGCTATCTCACCCAACTCACGGCCACTGTCATCAGCGCCATGGAATCATTATGGCCGCTCACTAAGAAATTAATGTTTGGGCAAAGAACTACCACTTACTTAGGTGTGAAGAATATCCTGTCTGCAGTACGGAAGATCAGTAAAATGATATACCTGGAAGCTTTTAATAGTTTGAAACACTCCCTTTTATCAAAAAAAGTGTAAATTCAAATTTTAGTCTAATCTCAGAAATATAAGCAGAGTGAGAATTTTTATTTCTTCTAGTGATTTGGGTCATGATGTCCAAGGCTTTCAGATGAGATGCTGTTATGTTCTCCAAAGCATCTCAATGTACATCACAAAGGCAACCACTTCTGGTGCTGAATAAACGGGGACTGTCACAACATAAGCAGTGCTGTCTGAGAGCCTGAGGCCTGACCGTGGCTGTGAACAGTATCTGGTTCACAAACAGTTCAGACAATCACAGCAGTTAGATTAAATCACACAGGCCAATTCCTTTGGAAAACTCTAAACTGTTGCAAAAAATTGTTAGGTCACCTTAAAATGAATCTGAAGCCTCTGTTCTATAGATTTAATTTCCATATTTCTGAGAGCCCCTAGAATCTTTCTTATCTTTTAATATTTTAAATCCAGCACATAAAACTTAGTGGTTTTAGGTCCTCCCCCCTCCGAAAATTTTATAATGGTTTGATCTTCAACCTAAAGTTACTTCTCACTGTATAGGCTAGATGCTGGAGAGCACAGCCATTGAAGCGAGTACCTACCAGGGTCATGCTGTTTTCTATCTGCCCTGTTCCATCACAGCATCTATGCACAAATACCTGCTATGTACTTGTCAAGATGAAGTGCCTGAGTTTATTTCTCCTGGGAACACAGGAAGACAAAAATTCCTGTACACTGAGCTGAATTTCATAAAGACTTTCATGTTTCAATACTGAATCACAGCATGCCACATGGAACACATTAGTGAAAAGTTATTTTCAACTGTATAATAAAGTAAAAAGTAAATCGAGGGTAGTGACACACCAGCACTCAAGAAACAAGAGGCAGGAGAGTTATTTCAAGTTTGGGAAGCACAGAATGAGTTCCAGGTCAGCCAGGACTATGTAGCAAGAATCTGTCTCAAAAAATCCAAATCACTGCTTTTTAAACCCACTAAGGGATCTCTTCATTCAAAGGGAAAGAGTAATTAGGACTTAGTTTAAGGAGAATGCAAAAGAATATTTTGAATAAAGCAAATAAACATCTACTTTACAGTAAATAAATTTAAAAGTGAGGGTTTAATGTCATACACACATATTGAGAAAGACATGCAAGGTCGCACATAACCAGGCTGTCCCTGAACTTATGCATAAGAGGATGGTCTTGACCTCCTCTGATCTCCCTGCCTCAATCTCTCAAGTGCTGGGATGACAGGCATGTGCATCACACCACCTGATTCTAAACATCCCTGCATGATTATGCGCATACATTTTATAGACTATGTAGCTCCAGTAGGCTTGGAACTCATTACATAGACTAGGCTAACCGCAAACTCACAGAGATCTTCCTACCTCTTAAGTGCTGGTATTGAAGGCAAGTGCCACCCCTCACTTTGGCCTTTAACATGTTTTAAATGAAAAATTCTTTTTAAACCATATTTAGTGAGAAGCACTATTTTACATTTTTTCAATGTTCTTTGATAAAAGAAAATTCTAAAAATTAACTTCATGAGACCATACAAGTAATTGTTTTAGTTGTTATTAATATATAGACAAGCTCACAGGCCACATAAATACTAGAAAACGCTATGGTTATTTTAAAATAAGAAGTGAGAAACATAGTGCCTCATTAACAAAAGTATCTGCAGGGCTTAGCTGCTCTTCCAGCACTCACATGGTGGCTCACAACCCTCTGTAACTCAGTTCCAGGGGATCTGATGTTCTCTTCTGGCGTTCCTGAGTACCAGGCACATGGTGCAGATATACATGCAGACGAAATACCCATAAACATTAAAAACAAAATCAAACCACAAGAATAAGTTATCTGCAATCTTACAGAGTCAATCTTGGAAACCTCTGTGGGCTCTCTAGAATACACTTTATACACTCAGTAACCTAATATGGAATAAATACATCACCACAAACATGAGTACTGAATTATTTTGTGAAAAATGTGAGGAAGAAAATGACAGTATATTTATGTGTGAAATGGAAACAGAGAGGGCTAAATTCTCATCTTCCAAAGCAGAAAGTTAAGAGAAAACATGAAATAGAGCAGTCAAAGTGGTACAGCTGGAGTAAGAGTTGGGGCCAGCAGAAGGCAAGATACTATTAAACCCTTCTTCTGTCAAGTTAAGAGGATGTTTCTTGTCTCTGCAGACTCTGCAACATTACTAAATTCTGAGATCAAGTAATTTTTTGAACAACCACGTATTTACAAAACTCATAAGGTCCATCGATTATTACTGTGACATTTTTTTTTTTTTTCGAGACAGGGTTTCTCTTTGGCTTTGGAGCCTGTCCTGGAACTAGCTCTGTAGACCAGGCTGGTCTCGAACTCACAGAGATCCGCCTGCCTCTGCCTCCCGAGTGCTGGGATTAAAGGCGTGCACCACCATCGCCCGATTACTGTGACATTTGTAAGGTAATGGTGAAATTACTTGTTCTGAATTTTGTTCCACTGGATCTAGCTGGTTCTAAGGTCTCATTGTCTTTCTTTAACCATGCAGAAATTCAATAATGCGAATTCTTACCTAATCTGAGTAGATAAGATTCACTAACGAGAACCCAAGTACACACAAAGTCAACCAAGGGAAAAGGCACCTGACTAAAGATTTGAATTAGGCTTCTCAAGCAGAATTACATTACAGGCAATCACGTCTACGAAAGACAAAGTCGGAATGAGCAAAGCACCACATAAGCACTCCTGAAAACAGATCAGATGTAGAGGGAGGGTGAGAGATTTCCCAAGTCTTGACCTTGGCAATCAGATAAGGAGAAATCTTGAAAAAGACAGTACCCAGTCTTCTCAAAGATCTGATCCTGGGACAGTTGGCTGGTTATTTCTGTAAACATTGTAATATTAGGGCTAAAAAATGGACTTCTGGAAACTCACCAGAGACAGCTGGAATCAATATGGATGAACCCCAGAGGAAAAAGGAAAAGATAAAAAACAAAATCCTTATAAATGAAGCCTCCACTGATGTCTATAAATGGAAGCTAACAGAAAGGACAAAAACAAAAAAATAAAAAACACGTCACAAAGACAATTTAGAACAGCAACTAAAGAAGCCAACATCAAAAACACATGAAGCATCAGTCAACAGTGTCTCAGATGCAGTTGTATTGGTCCTTCTTTCGTGAATGTTCAACAAACACTGACAGCACAGACACAAAGAAATGACACACTCATCTTTTGTTTAGGGTTCAGAAAGACGCAGTCATCTTAGGGAAACTGGATTATACTGAATTTTCCCATAGCAAGCAATTGAATGACCACTATTGCTAATGTAGGCTACCTTGCAACTCTAAATCACCACACTTAGGGTAAGGAGGTAGCACAGGGGTAGAGTGCAGAGATGCTGGGTTCAGCAGCACACCATACTGAACTTGCACCACACTGCACAGCGGAAACAATTCCTAAACTGCCTCAACTAAAGTGCAATTCTAAATTTAGAGGTATGTTAATAATTTTCCAAGGCTCAAGGAAAAAATGTTTCTTTGGTTCTTAATATCAACGAAAATCCTAGCAAACTGGCAGTTTAAGACACAAATTAAAAATACAGAGCATAATAAACAAGGATGATGCCTATGTTAGAAACAGGTTAGAATGGTACAGAGAGGCTGAGAAGGGTTGGGTGGGGTAGGAAAAGGCTAACCAACAGTCACTAAGCTCCATTTAGAGGCCGTAGTTACCTGAGTGCAAGGTAACTACAGACAGTGATCAGTCATATACAGTGCACTTATAAAATGCCAGTCAAATATTTTAAATGTTTCCACTATAAAAGAAACTCCAAAGCTTTGAGATCCATGTTTATCCTAACATGGACATTGCACAGCAGATATGTGTGTACAAACCTGCTCCAGGCATCAGTGGTACATGTCTGTAATCTTAGCACTTGGAAGAAGAGCTAGAGTAGAGTTCATGGCTAGCCTGGGCTACATACTAAGTCCAGGCCAGCTTGGACTGCATAGTAAGACTATCTCAACAAACTAATTAACTAACAGTTTTCCAAATAAGCATCAACTTAAAAAGAATAAAGGCTTGGGTGGGGGAATAAAGTAGGAAACAGCTTTTGGCAGCACACATGGTTTTTAAAAGTCATAGTCAATTTAAACATACTAGTTATAAAGATCAGCATACATAACAGATGTATCCGTTAACATTTTTCAAGTTATTTTATATGCATAGATTTTTTTATGCGTCTATGCCTGTGTACTATGTGTAGGTATGATACCTACAGAGGTCAGAAGATCCCCTGAACTGGAGTTACAGGTCGCTGTGAGCAGCCATGAGTGCTGGGAATGGAATCCTGATCCCCTGCAAGAGCCAGTGCCCTTATTTGTTGAGCTGTCTCTCCAGTCCCAGTTTTTCTCGTTTTATTGAGAAGAAAAAAATAAATGCTACATAAGAATACTTGGAAAATATAACCCCCCCAAACAAAACAAAACAAAGGGAACTAATGAAAGCCACATAGTACAGGAATGGCAATGCTGTTTTAGTATTAGGAAACAGATGCAGGTTTCCCTAATTCATTAATTAAGCAGGATTTCAAATGTCATGTTTATCCTTTTTTAAAATCATTTTTAAACTTAAGTGGCAACAAATTCTTTGTTTTTTTGAAAAGATTTTTTTTTTCTTCTTAAGTTGTTTTTTTTCCCAGATGTATGCCTGTGGGAGGGT